TCTCAGACACCAGTCAGCCGTGGGGCTGAGCTCCCCTGTGAAGACGGGGAAAAAAAAACACAGTTGCTGTGTTTCCCAGGCATATTTGGGCACCGTGCACATGCAAACCCCCCGAGCATGGCCGGGGATGGGGCCAGCCCCGAGGGGCTCGGACAGTTTCTGCCCCTTGTCGCTCTGTGCTGTTCGCTGGGTCTGGGGACGGCGGTTCAGGGAGCACTGGACCACGACGGGGCCTTTGCCCCATGCTGCTGGGCAGGAATTTGCCCTACCAAGCAACAGCGCTGGGTTCAGGGCCAAGCTCTCCCCGAGGCTGCCCCTTCTCCCGCTGCTCCCAGGGCTGTGCTTGAAGCTCTCCTGCTCAAGTAGGGGGGCCAAGCTCCCCCCGTCTCACGGTGCTTGGTGGCCCGTCCCCCCAGCCACATGCCCCTGAGTCCTCCCTGGAGCAGAACAGGGGCTGGAGGGAGCTGCTGGCCCCCTGCCTGCCTGCCCAGCACCTTCCCGGGCTACAAGCTGGGGAGCCCGTGGCATTCTGCTGAGCACCAGGCAGGATGCAATCCTGGATGCAACCCTGTTGCCGCCTTAGCTGGTCTCCAGTCCCCCTGCAAGTCCCTGGCAAAGCTCTGCCGGCTTCAGTGCCTTGCAAGGCCTGGGACGCAGCATCCGGCTCCACGCCAAGGCGTCCCCTGCCCTGGCCCCCCCCACCCTCCCCTCCCCGTGCCCGGAAGCCCTGGGAAAAGCTCTGCTGTGAAAGCAAAGTCCAGGCTGCTGGGCGCAGGGCAGCGGGGCACTGCGGGGCCATGGCAGCCATGCTCCGGGCAAGGCTGGGCACAGGCTGCCCTTCCTGCTGGCTGCGGGGCTGGCATCTGTCCCCGGGGCTGCCAGGAGCGCGGTTGGCCCATGCCACGGCTGCAGACCGGCTGCAACGGGAGTACGATGCGGTGGTGATCGGGGCAGGTAACGTTGGGCTGTGGGAAGCTGGTGGGGACGCCCAGCTGCCCTCCCCCCAGGGCAGGTGGGAGGGTTGCCCGGGGGGGGCCGTGGTGGTGCTGGGCATGTTGCAGCCCCCCAGCATGCTCCTCATGCCAGGGAGGGTGCAGGGTTCTTGCACAGCTGGGCACACATTGCGGCCCCCCCCACCCCAGCATGCTGCTTGTGCAGGGCACAGCTGGAGCATCTGCTCAGGCCACTTCTGTCCCCCTCCCCTGCACTGTTAGGGCCAGGGCTGTAGGGATGGGGGAGGATGCTCCCTGTCACCTGTATCCCATGTCCCCGTTATCTGGGTGGCTGTGCCAGCCCTGTATCCCGGGCATGGCAGGGTGCCCTGTGCTGTGGGACCGCCTTACCACCAGGCTCCGCTCACCTCCCTCTTTCCTTGCAGGGCACAACGGGCTGGTGGCAGTGAGTACCGAGCACAGAGTGCTGTCACCTCCATCACCAGGGGATGCTGGGGGACCAGGGAGGGTCTGCACCATGGGCAAGGGAGGGTGTTGGTGGCAAGGCCCATGGGGCTGGGGGCTCCCACAGGGCTGTGGGAAGCAGGGTCCTCCCTGGTGGGAGTAGGATGGGTCCTCACGGTGATGAGGACACATCCCACCCAGAGGGATGGGCAGCATGATGCCACACTCCCCGCAGGCTGCCTACCTGCAGCGGGCAGGGGTGCGCACGGCTGTGCTGGAGAAACGCCACGTGCTGGGCGGCGCGGCCGTCACGGAGGAGATTGTGCCAGGTACCCCTGTGTACCCCGTGTCCCCCTGCCCCTGGCCAGCCCTGGGTGCGGGCACCCCCCACCACCCCACATCTTCCAGGCTTCAAGTTCTCCCGGGCATCATACCTGCTCAGCTTGCTGCGGCCGCAGATATATACTGAGCTGGAGCTGCAGGTACCGGCACCCATCCCTCACTGGGCTGCTGGCACCTCCTGCCACACCAGCAGGGTGACCCCGCTGCCAGGCTGTCCCCGCAGGGTGGGTTCTGCCATCCCTGTCTTGCAGAGGCACGGCCTAAGGGTGCTCCCGCGGGACCCCTACTCCTTTACCCCGCTGCTGGAGGACAGGAGCCCCCCCCGCTCCCTCCTGCTGGGGCATGACATGGCCAAGACACAGCAGCAGATTGCTCAGTTCTCCCAGAAGGATGCCCAGGTACCGTTGGGGCACGTGCTTGGCATGTCAAAGACACCGAGGGGCTGCCCTGCCCACTGGAGCAGCAGGGATGCTCCTAGGTGGGGTATCCATTGCACCTACCATGGTGCAGTCCCTCTTGTCCCTCCTCTGTTCCCTCTCAGGCTTACCCTGAGTATGAGGCGTTCATGGGGGGCTTGGTGTCAGCCCTCGATCCGCTGCTGGATGCCCCCCCAGTGGACACAGCTGCCCTGGGGCAGGGGTCCCTGCTCCAGCGACTCAGGGCCCTAAAAGCCCTGCGACCCCTGATGCAGGCAGGTATGTTTGGGATGCTGGGGGACCCTGATGGCGATGGGTGTTTGCCCACACCTGGAGCGGGCAATGCTCCTTCCCAGGACACAGGCTCCTCAGGAGCTCCAGCTGAGCTGGCAGACCAGCAGGCTTGCCCGCTACCTGTTCCCAAACCCAACCGGGCGCAGGCAGCTGGCCCTGGCACGGCTGTACAGGTCTTACGCTGCCTCTGCACCCGCAGGGCTGGTGTTGGGGCGGCAGCTGCCCCGTTACTATGAGGTGCTCACAGCCCCCATCTCCAAGGTGAGTGCTGGCAGCAGTGGCACAGAGCCACCAGCCACGTCCCTGCCTGCCCTCGAGGGAGCTGCGGCAGCCCCCCACCCTGACCCTGGCGCTCTCCTTTTCTCGTCGACCAGATCCTGGATCAGTGGTTTGAGTCAGAGCCCCTCAAGGCAACTCTGGCTACTGACGCAGTCATTGGAGCCATGGCCAGCCCCCACAGCCCCGGCAGCGGGTGAGGGTCCTTTCCCCCCGGGACTCATGGCTGCACTGTCCCCTGGTGCCATCCTCTGTGCTCTGGCAGCTCCTTGGCTCTGCTGTGCCCTGGCACCCTGTGCTCTGCCCCCCTGCCTCTCCCTCCTGCTGCCCGCTCAGCCTTGCCGGGGTGGCTCAGAGGTTAGAGCTGGGAAAGGGGGTGCCCCTCATCCCTGCCATGTGGCTCTCCTGAGTGGTACCCACTGCCCCTTTGCTGTTTGGACACCTCTGTCCCCAGGCCAGGTCAAGCCTGGCCGATGGGTACTGCCTGTAACTGATTTGACATCCTGTGAGCTGGCGCGATCCCATCTATAGGGGCCATGGCACCCTCCTCACCATGCCCATGCACGGGGACAGATGTGTCCCCTCGGCCGACAGCTAACCAGGGGTCCTGCCGCCGCAGGTACGTGCTGTTGCACCACGTGATGGGCGAGCTGGAGGGACAGAAGGGGGCCTGGGGCTACGTGGCTGGTGGGATGGGGGCTCTGTCCCAAGCCATCGCCGGCGCAGCGGCTGCCCGGGGAGCCCACATCTTTACTGAGAAGGTACAGGGTGTCTGGGCGCTGGGAGCTGCCTGGCTGGCCTGGAGGGAGCGGGGATGCTTTTGGTGAGGTCCTGTCCCCTCTGCCTGCCCAGGCGGTGTGCCACGTGCTGCTGGGCAGGGACGGGCGGGCGCAGGGCGTTGCGCTGCAGGACGGGACGGAGGTGAAGAGCAAACTGGTGCTGTCCAACGCCTCCCCCCAAATCACCTTCCTGGAGCTCACCCCCCAGGTACGGGGCACCCGGGACTGGCAGGGGCTTGGTGTGGTGGCATCCCCCAGGCAGGCTGTCCCCTCCTCACCGCTGGGCTCTGCCCTGGCCTCTCCCATCCCAGGAAGACTTGCCAAAGGATTTTGTCCAGCGTATCCAACAGGTTGACACACGCTCTCCCGTCACCAAGATCAATGGTAGGTACCAGCGAGGCCACCTGCACCACCATCCCCACTGGAGGGACACTGGTGCCATGCTCAGCAGGAGGCGGCATCTCCCTTTTCCCGTCCCCATCCCGTGCCCAGTGGCTGTGGACCGGCTACCCAGCTTCCTGGCTGCTCCCAACGCCCGCGACGGCCGGCCCCTGCCCCACCACCAGTGCTCCATCCATCTCAACTGCGAGGGCACCCACCTCCTGCACCAGGCCTTCACTGAGGCCACCCATGGGCACCCCTCCAGCAGAAGAGCCTGCACCAGCACACCTCGGTGCCCCGGGGAAGGGGCAGGACAGCCATGGCGAGTGGTGCTGGGGGAAGAGGTTTGAGGTGTTTGGATCCTCTACTGCCTGCCCAGCTAGTGTCATGCTCCCCCAGGCCCATGATTGAGCTCTGCATCCCCTCGGTGCTGGACCCGGGACTGGCCCCACAGGGCTGCCACGTCGTGTCCCTCTTCACTCAGTACACCCCCTCCGTGCTGGCAGGCGGGCGGCCCTGGGACGAGCAGGCCAGAAATGCATACGCGGACACGGGTATGTGATGCGTACATGGATATGGGTGCATAATGCACACACGGACCCAGGTGACACCAGGGGTGCTGGTCCCTGTCCCTGGGCAGAGCCACCCTGGAGCTGCTCAGGGGCTGGCCATCATGTCCTCTTGAGCTGCCCATCAGTCCCTTCATCCCTCTCTAGTGTTTGACTGCATCGAAGCCTATGCCCCGGGGTTCAAGTCATCCATCATCGGCAGGGACATCCTGACGCCACCAGACCTGGAGAAGATCTTCGGGCTGCCCGGTGGGGTGGGTACAATGCGGGTTTGGGTCTGAGCCAGTGCGGGTGGGCACACAGCCCTGGGCCAGGCACAGCCAGCTCACACAGAGCTCTGCTTGCAGAACATCTTCCATGGGGCGATGTCCCTGGACCAGCTGTACTTTGCCCGGCCAGCACCATCCTACTCGGGTTACCGGTCCCCAGTTCCTGGCTTGTATCTGTGTGGAAGCGGAGCCCACCCTGGTGAGTAGGGCTGGGAGCCAGGACCCTCCTGGGGGAGGCTGCAGGAGGTGCATGGAAGCGATGCAAGGGCGGCACAGGGAGGGGAGGAGGGTCTCCACTCCCCTCTCTGCCCCTTCATGGGCAGGGAGGAGGTGCAGCTCCTCTGGTGCAGCCCTGAGCCCCATCTCCTGGGGCTGGAGCTGCCCACTGCTCCCTATTTCTGCTCTCTTGCAGGAGGAGGAGTGATGGGAGCAGCGGGACGCAACGCCGCCCAGGTGGCCCTCGAGGACTTCAGGCGCCTGTGATGGCAGTGGTGACACCAACTTTGCCTATGCAGGGTTGTGGCTGTGGTGAGCTGTGCTGTCCTAACGTAGAGCTCTCCCCGTCCCCAACTTGCTTCCCGGGCACTTCAGGGCAGCAGCATCCCCTGAGAGCGAGGGGGTGCAGGCTGGCAGGGTCCCTTGTGGTCCCAGCTGCCACTGTCATCTTGAACACGTGGCTACTCCCAGCCCACGACAGCCTGGCCTTGCCCAGGTGGCTCCTGGGCACTGGGCAGCCACGGCTGGGCTCAGCCCCCGTCTGCAGCCGTGGAAATAAACCCCATCCTGGGCTCTGCCTCAAGCACTCACTGTGGTTTTTCAGCTCTTTGTGCGGCTCATGCTGTGCTGGCATGGGGGGCTGCACTGTCCCTGACGATGCCCCCCTTGGGGGAGCTGCCAGAGATCACAGGCATGTCCCAGAGCAGTGGATGGGGACAACCAGCCCCTGCCCCTCTCCTCTGCTCACTGATGCAGGCTCAGGTGCGTGTGGGGCTATTTGGCTGCAGCCCCCCCACCCCAGGCTGGCCTGGACCACCCCAAGGTGCCTAGAACAAGCAGGGAGCTGCTGGAGACCTGCTTTGCTACCTGGAGCCCCCAAACTGTCCTCT